AGAGCAGCTGCAGAGAATTCAACATTAATGAATCAATGTTACGGAAGTGGAGGAAGCGCAGTTTTTGGCTTTCTTCATATTTCAAAAGTGCTTCATCTCTTTGCTGTGACTGTCGCCCGCCATAATTTGCAGATGGTAATGGTTGTAGCTGCTGCCATGCTTTCGACCAAAACATCAACATGCGCTATCGCGATAGAGCGATATAGTGAAAATCTCTATCGTTGGCCAAATTTATATCGTTTCTATCGCCCACCCCTACCGAGGAGCACATACATGTCACAGGTTCATCTTTTTACACTAGTTTTTTGTAAACTCTCAGAAGCTGTGTGTGTCGTGTAGTTGAAGTTCTGACAAACATAACATAGTGCAAGTGTGTCCATTAAGACATCAGTCAAAGCCAAAAACAGTCTATTTATTAACCTTTGATCTTTCACTGCTGTAAGTTTCCTTTTGTTAACAATGAAGCATCACACAAAAGGTCCGAGGGTGTAGTCCTACTGATATTTGGATGTACACATTATTAAAGATGTTTCAGTAAGTGTGTCAATAAAAACATTACTCATGATAAACGCTCACAGATGTTTGCAGGTGTTAGTCGTCCAGGACTGAAGCTTCACTCACGTAGCTCCACAGCACGTAGCTCTACATGTTATTAGTACAGATATGATGTTAGTGAGGGAGGCTTTCCCGCCACACCTGCATGTTTATATAAGTCGTACGTTGTCATGGTGTCTGACTCGTTGTCTAGGTGTTGGGTTGGATACGTAACGGAGAGTCCATGCTGAACGCCAGCATGGTCAACGCCAGCTCACTGTCTGAGGCCGAGCAGCTTCAGAGGGAGCATGAGCAGTTCCAGATGGCTATAGAGGTACAGACACACACACACACATCACCTAATTATTGGTACTCCAACCAGTTTTACTGTATATGAGTAATAATTTTTCAGTGTGTGCTGGTTTGAATTGTAGCAGATGTGCACGTGTGTGTGTGTGTGTGTGAACCAGGCTTACCTCAGTCATTTACATTCTGAGTTTGAACAGTAACAGATGCTTCACACACACTTACACACACACATTAAATCCTTTAAGTGCTGTCACTGGATGCTGTGGTGTTACTTTAAATAGCTGACCACAGAAGTCTGAAGGTGTGTGTGTGTGTGTCTTGATGATATGACTCCTGCATCTTCCTGCTGATGTGCTGCTGTGTACCCAGGCTCACCCACTCGTGCACAACATTATAAAATAAACTTTTGCCTCCATGTAGTTTTTCCCTCCTGCTGTATTTAACTGAAATAAAACAGGAAATGAAATGTTAGGATCATTTTAATACAGCTTAATTATCAGAATTGTAATCAAAGCTGTAAATGATCAGAGTCAAACTTTAAAGACTCTTTTTGTTTTAGAGCCCTTTAACCTTTAAGCCTTGTGTTTGTGTAGACCCCCACAAAGGCATGTTAGAAATGGTATATTGAACTGAGTTAGGGATGCACC